CGATATCCCGGTGGCCTCCTCAACTCCAAATGAATCTTACTCCGACGACAAGCCTGAACCACAACCTCGTATTCCGCCCAAGTCTCGAGTCCCCTGGTCCACAGGCCTCTGCGGTTGCTTCTCCGATTGCCGAAACTGTAAGTCACCCAGTTTTTCCCTTTCACGGCGGCGCGTGCATCACACGCGCCTTGAGGTCAATTTGATTTTGACTCAGGTGATTTATTTTCTAAAATCAGGTTGCATCACGTGCTGGTGTCCGTGCATTACTTTCGGACAAATTGCTGAGATTGTCGACAAGGGATCGAGTTGTAAGTACTCTTTTCTTTTCACGTATTAATTGATTTAATCTTGAGAGAATGTCAAATTATGAAAAACCCCTCTTGTTTGGGTTATTACGATCACCCCTTAACTATAATTTTTTTTACACGTCAACCCTTGCGTTGTCAAATTTAGTGGAATCGTATATATTATATGGAATATTCTCAATTTTGTACCCGTTTTATCTCATTCGAGCTCCACATTTTGAAGCAAGATGATCGTAAGATCTGTATTTTGGCTTGTATATATCAGATTATGGTGCATCAGAAACTGCATTTTTTCACAAAAACGAGTACAAACTAGAGAACATTCCACGAAATCTAAAAGATTATGTTGATATGAATCCATAAGGGTGGACGTCAAAGAAGATTTATAGTTGATGAGGGTAGTTGTAGTTAACCAAAAATGAGGGGGTTTTTTTCGTAATTTGACCATACATTAGGAGTGTTAAATTAAACTTGCTCTAATTAACGAGCGCGTGGTGCAGCGTGTGGGCAAAACGGAGCGTTGTACACGTTGATAGCGTGCGTGACTGGGTGCCCGTGCTTCTACTCGTGCTTCTACCGATCTAAACTCAGACAGCAGTACTTACTACACGAGTCGGCCTGTGGGGATTGTTGTGTGCACTGTTTTTGCGAGTCTTGTGCTCTCTGTCAGGAATACCGCGAGCTTAAAAATCGCGGTTTCGATATGTCAATCGGTAATTACTCAATTATTAATTAATTAATTAATTAATTAATATCTCTATATCTTAAATTAATTAGACAATTGAAATGATTTTTTTTTTTATAATAAAATTGGACTTAATTAAAATGGTGGATTTGGATTTTTTTTGTTTTGTTTGCAGGATGGCATGGGAATGTGGAGAGACAGAATCGTGGAGTTGCTATGGCTCCAATTGTTGAAGGAGGAATGAGTAGATAATTAAATAATTATTGTCGAATTAAATATTTACTTTTAATTTTTCAATTGCTTGTCCAGTTGTTTTTTCGTGTAAGATGATCCTCAAAATATGTATTTAACTATTTATATAAAATAATTGCAACTTTTGTCTATATTTTATTATGTTGGACATCCGTTTGAACAAAGCCAACAACATATTGATAAATGATTTTACGCAATAATCAACACATGAAGCAATTTATGATTTCAAACGGCTCAATCTCCATTTGTCAAAATCTCGTCTAGAAATCACTGCGGTGGCACCAACCGAACCAGCACGCACACTCAAGTTTGCCGGAATCCTAGATCTGATCGGAACCCTTTTGTTTATCAAGTGAACGGACATGATCAAAGAATGGGATTCGGACAGTCCCACAACAAAGTTCGAGAGAGTTCCATAAGTCAGACGGATTTAGTTTGCAACTGGGCTGATTTCTTCGGTTAGGCCGCCTCAGGTAAAGATGAGTTAAGAGCATCTCCGACCGGTCTCACCATTTTTTCACCAAATCCCATTTATGGCGGTGAAAAGATGGGTTTATTTCCCACCGGTAGCACACTATTTTACTCTTTCACCATTATTGTGGAAAATGGTGTTTTTGGTCTCCAATCGGTTTCACCAAAATTTAGACCAAATATTAAAATAATAATATTTTACCATTTCACCACTTATAGGAAATGACATTTGGTTTGGTCTCCCATGGCATTTCACCATATATACCCCAAAGTTATAAATCTAATGTTAATCGTAATTTTATTATATTTTATTTCCTAAATATTAATTATAGATCCGATGCTAAGTAATAAATTTTCTTAACTATATAATTTAAAAATTATATTATCAATTTTACAAAATTGTCTAAACGAGAAATAACATAACTCAAATTATTTTAAATATAATAAAATCATACATAAACAATAATCTCATAAAATATTGCATAAATAAAATATTACAATATAAATGTTATGTTATCATGTTATGTTGTTTGTTATTTTATGAGCTATGTATTTCAATTTAAATGTCTCGTCCTGTATTTCATCAATTAAAGTGTGTTTCGTTAATCATTCTATTGTTGCTTATTATATTTTATTAATAGCAATTGGCGTATCAGTTAAGTAAAAAAATAAACTAATAAACATTGATACCAACATAATATACAAATTAATTAAAAATAAGCATATTTATATTATTATAATTAATGTTTTGTTAATAATAACAAAGGTATTTATATTTTAAAAATTAATTTAATAATTAATATCAATGTATTTATGATAAATATGCTAATAAGTTAGTAATCAGGTGTAATTAGTTAAAATCGTCATTTTATATGGTACTTAATAAAATGGTGTTAATTCCGCCAAATCTTATTTTTACCTCTATATTTGGTAGGAAAAATAGGATTTGGTGGAAAAAATAGGAATATGGTGGACCGATGGGAGATGAAAATTCCTTCACAAAAAATTTGGTGGAAAAATAGGATTTGAGTATTTGGTGATATGGGGTTGACCACGGTGGGAGGCTAAAACCAAATCACTATAATTTTAGATGTAATGGGGATATAGGAATTTCGGGTAGGAGGCTAGAAACACCTAAATTAGATGAAAAAATGCCGATATGGCGACCGGTCGGAGATGCCCTAATGGACTGAATCATTATTACTCAAATGGGCCCAAAACTCATAGGTTTTCTCATTGTAGCATATGCCCAAAAACGACCGTTTCTTACGAAATTAGTAAACTACTTTAAGGCTTAAACCCAAATCAACAAAATTAATGCAGAAAAAAATGAACTATTTGTTACTGAAATCCAAGATCTAAAAGCATAGATTAGGAACAAAGAATTAGTTGTTACAAAAGATTAAAAGAAAATAAAAGAAGGGTAAATTACGGCCACCCCTTAGTTATGGTCAAATTACAAAAATTCCCCTCCTGTTTGGGTAATTACAACCACCCCTCAACTATGTATTATCTTATGAAAATACCTCCAACAGAGGTAAATTTAGGGATGTTAAATCGGTAACACCAAACCAGAATTTCGGTCGCCAACATTTCATACCGTTTACCGAACTGGATATACGATCTGGTTCGGTAAATAACCGAATCACATAAAATTTATGTAATAATATTTAAAAGAAGGGGGTGCTGCAATTACTCAAACAAAAGAGGTTTTTTCGTAGTTTAGACATACCTCAGGGGTGGGCCGAAATATGTCCAATAAAAAAAGAGTTTTTATTTAATTAGGGCTTGTGATGGATAAAAATGAAAAGAGGGGCCCGGCCCATTATCCAAGATTGAATTTACCCGTGAATGACGATGCTTTTGTCCCCCAAACAGGACTCAACTTTTCTACTTCCCAATCCACATAAAAAATCTCTAACCCTTTTTTATGTAACTAAATTTTGTAAGAATTTTATTTTCAACAGATCCATGTTTATTATTTAGCTCTATTGGTGCCGTTTAGTCCCGTCAAAAGTTCGACCCTAACGACTGTTGACAAGAGAATTTGAACCTGAATCAGTTAACATAAATTCACTCGCTCCAATATCTAAATCATCGTATATTAAACGGCTTTTACGTTTCTTGTCAAAAGGCAATATCTTTTTTAGGTACCTAATATGTAAAATTTAATAATTGTGTTATCTTGAGAATAATTGACTGTGGTGGTAATTGGCCCCACCACTAAAATCATATATTTTTTTGTTAGCTCTCCAACATATATTATTATAAACATCACTATAGTCTATACATATATATGTGTCCAAGAAACTCATTACACTCGAGGTTCTTTTCTTTTTTACTTTTTATGTCCTTTTCTACGAATTTGTTTTGGGAATATTGCAGTTTTTATCCCTCAAATTTATATTAATTTCACATTTGGTCCGCATAATCATAAAAAATATATTTGGTCCCTCACATGTCAATAATTTAACACATTTAAGTCGTTTTCGTCATTTTACCGTTACTCCGTCAGTTAAGGCAGTGATAGGCACACGCTTGATTCCGTTAGTACTAACGAAAAATTGATGAAAATGACTAAAAATATTGAATTTTTGAAGTATAAGGGACCAAATGTATTTTTTTATAAATATGGAGACAGAATGTGAAATAAGTGCCCACTTAGAGACCAAAACTGTAATTTTCTCAATTAGTTTTCTATTTGTACGAGCAATATAAGCATAAAAACCGAGTCTTGCATATTCATTCTTGCTTGAATAACTACACTAATCAACTCCACTTCTCTCTCTCTCTCTCTCTCTCTCTCTCTCTCTCTCTCTCTCTCTCTCTCACACACACACACACACACAGTTTGTGGGTTTTTTGAAAGGGTTTAAATCAAGTGATGCATCGAAGTGAAAAAAATAAATAATGGAGGGAGCAGAGGAAGAGTTGGAGAGGAGAAGCAAGTTCTTAAGCAGTTTAATATTACAGAAGAAGAAGAACTCAAACAACAACGTTAACAAAGCCGTTTAATAAGGATGC